AGGAAGAGGTTTCTGCCGAGCCAGCAGATGCGCCAGCAGGAGATGATGCCCAGGAAGAGGTTTCTGCCGAGCCAGCAGACGATACACCAGGTGCCATGGAGGGGCTTGGCGACGGAGGCGCTGTGGAGTCAGAGACTGCTGACCAACATGGGGATGAAGAACTTTGAGCTAACGGGTGGCGGTGGGGTCACCGCGCCATGTGGACGAGAGGATTATGCCCACATTTTGTGGAGGAGTGTATAGACACTATGTACTGCAATGTAAAGAGGGGGTAGGTGCAGGCACAGAAATGACTTGTACTTTGGAACGCCAATGCCCTAATGGCGTCGTGGGCTCTGTAGATGCGTGATATTTTTCTTCTCTTTTTTTTTGTTGCGATAATAAAGGGATGCGAGCGTATTTCCTGGGGCGTCGGGGCTACCGCGAAGTTCTTGAATTACAGGAAACCATTTTTAAAAGGAAAATTGAGAGACAAGTTCATCGCCTTCGCCATGATCCGGGCGTGGACCTGCTTCCCGATACCGTGCTGCTCGTGGAGCATTCCTCACCGGTTTACACAGTTGGTAGGCGAGACACATTGGAGGGGATCCCCGCGAACTGTGCGGTTGAGGTGGTCAAGACAAGGAGGGGAGGAGGTGTTACTTTTCACGGACCTGGACAAGTAACAGTGTACCCGATTGCGAACATTCAGCTACTATGGAAGTTTTGCACCTCGCCAGACAAACCACGTTCTCCCATCGAGTGGTACAGCTTTGTGATGGAGCAAGCCATGATGGACACTGCAAAAGACTATAGCGTTCCTACACATCGTAGAAAGGTTGGAGTTTGGTCGGACCGGTGGGGCGAAGTGGCACCCCGCAAGATCGGGTCTATTGGACTCCAACTCGGCAACTGGGTATCCATGCACGGGATGGGCTTCAACGTCAACAACGACCTTCGTTACTTCAACGACATTGTCATGTGCGAGATGCCCGGCGAGTCAGCCACGTCATTGACTGAAGAGCTGCAGCTGCGTTTCTCCGGTACGGCCGAACCCAGCCCTAGAACAGTCGCCCCACTTCTGCTCTATCACTTCCTCATGAACCTCCGTCACAAGGACAACATTGTCTCAACAAAAATGTTTGATGTTTCTGAGGATCCTAATTGGTACCACCGCATCTTGCATGAAATTGGGTGAGACGCACTTTGCTTGTGGACACCGTGGCAGACGCTTGGAGCCGGGCCAACTTCTGTGCGGGTGAGGCGCTTTTGCACTCCTCAAGACCAGACCATGACTCTCACATCATGTAGGCGCTACAGTGCATCGTTATGGATGCTGTGAGCTTCTTTTTTTTTTTTGCTCAGTCTGTTGGCGTTGCCGGGGGCTGAAGCCACCCCAAAAGAAAAAAAAAGGATTCCTGGTCGTGAAAGGGTGACGCCTGGACGGCTTCCCAACTAATAAACATGCGCCGCCGCCTCTTGCCTCTCAGGAGAAACGGGGATCCATCATTATGAGTGGAGGAAACCTGTCTGCCGCACGTGCAGGTACAAGGTATTTTTCCCTATGCCACCCGCATTCATCCCTCAGTCATCACATCCTGGTACCAATCAGGCTTGTACTCGTTATTCTCACTAACCTTCTTTGCTTTCATTTTGCCACCGCCGTGTAGCGGACATCAATGATTGTACTCTGCGCCGAAATCCCGCACTACAACAATGCAAGGGCATCATCTAGCACCTCCCCCATATCTGTCGGGTTTCTCTCTGTGCTCGCGTGAAGAGTCAGATGAAAGTAATCATCATGCGAACCATGCCCGTTTTGCGAAGCGAGATGCACACTGCAGTCAGATTTGGGGGTTAAGCATTCCTCTTCGCCCAGCCACTCCTTGGACTCAGTTGTTTGGGCTGTTTTGTTACGTTTAAAGTAGAGAGAGGCGAGCGCGGTGACGTATGTAACGGTATTCGCCGTCGCCATCGTTAATGGCCCAGGTCGCATTAATAGCGACATTGGATAAAGGTGGCAGCCGTGTTTTTGTCGCCTTCACTTAGTTCGGCGAATTCTGCGGGTTGGTGGAACTCTCTTTGCGCGCCACTTTGCGTCATGCTACCGGCTGCGGTGCCCCGTTCTGGGCCGCTGCGTAGCGCGGGGGGCACCACCACCACCACGTCGTCACAGTGTAACTGCAATGAACATTAACTGATGTCAGTTGAACCAAGACCATTATCAGAAAATTATAGAGCAATAGCTGAATGGTTTCCGTTGTTGAATGCGTATGTGACGTTCCGCCAGCGCTACTACATCCGGTATCCACGTGTCCCCGCGCTGTGGTAGGTCAGAGGCCGTCTTGGCTTCCTTATCACATGCCTCATTTTTTGCAACGCCACAGTGACCAAATATAAATTGCAGCCGTATGCGTGCCTTGCGGTGTTGGAGGTCCAATAACAGGTTCCATAGTAGTCGTAATATGGGGTCTGTTACTGTCAGGGGACCTGTTTGGAGTGCCATGAGGAGTGACAGGGAGTCCGTGAAGACAGACACTCTGCACGGTCGAGTGTTGCGACGGGGAATGATGTCCAGCAATTTCTGCAGTCCAACTTGCAATGCGATGGATTCAGCTCGGTAGCTACACGCAATCGGTCCTGCACCTGACTTTGCTTGGGCGATGAGCTCTCCGTTGAGGTAGATCATGGCTGCTGCGACACATTTCAATCCTAGTTTGACGGAGCCATCCGCCCATAGCTCATAGTGCAGCCTTTCAGGTGGTGCAGGTTCTTTCCTGCGGAATTGTCGGGCTATCCATCTGGTAAATGCTTGAAGTTTGGCCTCGTCCGGGTCCTCCGCGGTGACACCTTCAAGCGATGTGTGAAACAGTGCTCGAGATGCCCACCGTAGCGTGAGGGGCGCCAGGGGCGGGATCCTAGCTTCAATATGGAGTTCTGGGTAAGGTGCCATGATGGTGGTATACAGTTGTCGTACGGGGTGTTCCGTCGGGTATACCACTCTGGCACTGTCGCGTACCGCCCCTCCTCGCGTTTCGCACAGGAGCATATATTTGAGGGTACAGATTGGCACTGTCGCGCTTAGTGGCTGCAAGTTGGCCTCAAGTAAAGCATCTTCTGTGCGGCTACCTTTAGGAGGGCTGGCCATTATTTTACAGGCTTTGTGCTGCCCGGTATTAAGAGTAGCTCGCGGGGTGGATGATGCGTCCCAGTACCATACTTCTATACCATACATTGCTTTGGCCTGCACTAGAGCCAAGTAGAAGGCACGCAGTGNGTCTCTTTTCGGTCCCCAGCTGCAGGATGAGACAGCCGCTAGCTGCATGAGTCGCTGGTTGATCTGCTGCTGTAGGCGTGCCACATGTGAGCTCATTCCGCGGCATTTCTGGAATGTGATGCCCAGCAGGGTCGGGAGCCGTTCCATGGTGACCGGTGTGCCGTTGCAGAGGAGAGTGAGGGGGTTCGTACTTGTGGTCCGGAAGAATGCATACTTCGTCTTGGATNCCGACCGATCCTCCAGCGCATGTTTCTTCAATGGACCGGCACAACGAAACAAAGATCAAAATACCAAAAACAACAAAACACAAAAACAAAAATACCAAAAACAAAACAAAAACAGAAAAACACCAAAGATAACAAAATACATAACAAAACAAAGGGACCTCCTTCCACATAGAAATTAAGCAATAACGAACGTGCTCTACGATGGTGGCTGATGGAGCGGAGCCATCGACGAAAATCGTGAAGACACGAGGAAGAAAAAAAAAAAAAAACTGTGTCAAGCAACCAGGTTGAGATCGTCCGCGAAGAAGCCGTGCCGCAGTAGCGGACCTTAAGCAAATTGTATGCTGAAAGAATTCATGACAATAATAAACATGAGTGGCCCAAGGACCGTGCCTTGTGGTACACCTCTCGTGAAGGACGCCGGCGAGGAGTGCACCTTGTTTACGCGAACTACTGCCGTCCTATTGCCCAGAAAGGATGCTGACCATCGCACTATATGTTGCGGTATTCCAAGCCGTCGCATTTCAAGTATGATTTTATCATTGTCTACTGTGTCAAAGGCTTTGGCGTAGTCCACAAACACTGCGGCCGTTCTGTCCTTNAGCCGTCGCATTTCAAGTATGATTTTATCATTGTCTACTGTGTCAAAGGCTTTGGCGTAGTCCACAAACACTGCGGCCATTTTATCTTTAGGAGCCGGTCGACGCATTACCGCTCGAAGGTGCAATAGTTGGTCCAGTGTGGAGTGGGATGGTCGGAATCCGGACTGCTGACGTGTGAGCTTTGGCTCTATAATATCACGAATGCGTTCTGTTATAATACGTTTCGTTAGTTTACAGAGGCAACTGGTGCTCTCGACTGGTCTGTATGACGCCAGTTCCGCTGCTTTCTTACCCGACTTAAGGAGAGGGATTATAACCCCGTGTCTCCAGCTCTGTGGGACGATGCCAGTGCGCAGGCTCTTGTTGAAGAACGTTAAGATGGAGTGTTTCGAACCTCCCCCAAGGTGTCGCAGCGCCTCACCATGTATCATGTCGGGTCCCGATGCGAATTCGAGCAGCTGAAGGCGCAGCGCGCGATCGAGTTCAGCCATTGTTATTGGCTAAATGATCTGTACCTTACCTACCTCTATTAAGTAAAGAAAGAGCAGGAGAAACCTATTATCAAATTCCCATCGCGAAAACAATGCCCCAGATTGCATATTTGGAGGGCTTTCCAGCATACATCAAAGCATTAACCATATAAGGGATATAAATCATGTATCAAAACTGACGAAAAAAAGGTGCCGCAAGCGCCCTTAACCCGCCTCCCGCGCCCCCCTTCGCAAG